TGTGATGGCATTGCCTCAGAGCAATTTGAGATAGACTGGTGTTTATGTAGATGAGCATGAAATGTCTGAAGGGAGTCTCCACTTCCATCATGTTACTTGTACCTGAATGAAGTGCGGAGTGGTTACGTGGCAGCAGGAAGACAAAGTACCAAGGTGGATGGAGCAAACGAAGTGTTGGTTCCATGTGGCTGCTTACGCGCCTAAGTAGGTGGTTCTGTTAATTGGTGAATGGGCTTATGGTTGGCGGCTAGCCTACGAACCCAGTAGTTTTCCACATTGCATTTGAAATGGGAATTCGATTCAGGGGAGGTTGTGATCGCCGTAATTAACAAGGAGGAGTTTTTGTGTCGACTTGGGAATTAGCGGTGTGGTCTTTGCTTCCGGTTCCTGAATGGATTTTTGAGCGCCATGACCACTGTGAGAGCTGAGAAAAACCGCTGACGACGTAATTCGCGTAACTGCGACATTTGCTTAATTTGCTGCAGCTTGCATGGGCTCTTCAGTCTACATGGGTTTACTTAATGGCTTTCTATCCACATTCTAAATCGCTTGCGAATTTGTGGTTGAGTTCCATACAGATATTGCCGCACACTACACTGCCATAAAGAACACCCTTACCAAGCCCACCTGGAGCAAAAACTCAGTAGATTCGTTAGTTTGATATTTAGATTTATTACATTTGTTTATTCTATCTGCTGCTCATAGCGACAGCTTTGTCGTCTTCAAAGAAGGCCGCTGAAAGAGCAAGGAATGTGGCTTAAGATAAGTCGCTTCTCAACTTATTTTTGGCATCATTCGACTACGGCGCTCCTCAAGGACTCTCGACATCCGACTTACACATTGATGAAAGTGAACCATCCCCATCATTTCTGTGACTACTACAATGATGATTTGAATGCTTAAAATGAACGGGGAGAAATTCGTTTTCTTCAATTTATTACTGCATTCACACCTAACAGACGGAAAGGATATGGTGTGGATGCCTAAATCATCGCCGACCCACCCTAGTCCTCAGTTCCGCCAAGTGGTGAGCAGGGAATAGAAGACAAAATCCACCCGGCAGCAAATGTCACCGAAATAACTCAATGAAATGTGTTCATGAAGGTGGCTATATAAGAAGATAAGAAGAATAAATCATGTGGGATGAAGGACAAAATTCAAAGGGCAAGAATGGATGCTGGATACTATGTAAAGTTGACTGATAAATTCGCATTGCATCCAAGGATTACACCTTTTGGGAATGGTCATCCGCGCTGGTACTGCACTCAGTACAGGACATCAATTGGTCTCCAGCCAGAAACATATTGAAGTGCCACCCTCAATGCTGCTGGATTTTGCCTCTGTCAGCTTGGTTCTGGGCACCATGCTAAGGACAAGACGTTTCGTCTGTGTCTTTTCTACTAAGGGCTCAGTAGTCATTGCCCACACTTGTAACACTTCCATTCGGACTGCGGTGCCTAATGCGGTCTTAGGAATGAGAATATTGCTGCAGTGTATTCAATGATAGCTTCTATGATATTTACTGATTTGGAGTTGTATTGGAAAAGCACAACAAGCAGGTTCAATTCGCACCCAGTGGGGGACTTCTAAAGCATGTCTGGGAGGCTATTTACTCCAAATAACTAAGGCATTTTCCAAAAAATTAAATTGAGACATTGTGTTTAGCCAGACACCGTTAGGAGTGTTATTGCAGGTTCACAATCGGAGACTATGTGGCTTATCTGAAAACTTCGTCTAGTCTATTATCTTGAGATGATATCATGGGTACAGAAAAAACTTTTGGTTGTTCAAATTTCCTGGACTTTTTGTTTTAAGTAGTCAAAGGCGGTCATTCATTGTGGTGAATAACTTGTCGAGTTTGGGTGAGCGACATCGTTGCCTTAATATCTTACGGCATTCAGATTTCGTTGTCAAATTAGTGCCATGACTTCTAGACCAGTTAGCTAGTTTGTTTCCCTTTTGCTAAAATATTTTTTGCAGTTGGTTTTTTTCGTCTTTTTAACTTAGAGAGTGATATTTAAGGCCTTCCCCAATCAGCC